GGAGGGGACGATAAAACGTTTTTACTGAACTTGGGAATATAGCGGAAAACTCTAAAGATGAAAGACGTATACGTGTGTATGGGCGGGAAAATGGTACATTGCCACCCCCTGACTGATACCTTGCTACATCCCTACTCTTAAAGGGGCACTTGGACGAAAATCGCTCCAAAATTTTAAACCCTTTTATTCGAGCTGGAACTTTGCTGAAATGATCTTGAATACATTAATAACCACTCACTAAAGTATCTTCCTGATATTCGAAAGGAAAGGGCCCAAACATTACGATTTTTTTCGCCGCCATTAATTTGATGACTCACTGGCAAGGAGTTATTATGTACAGCGGTTTTACAAAACATCCTAGGTTACGATATAATTTGTTAATATAGTCTAAATTACAATACGTGGCGCTACAACGCTACTATCGGACGTCAAGATTACAAACACGAATAAATGATCTAAAATTATTACACGATAGTGACGAATAATCGATAGAAATTTCACTTGAATATTAAGTAACTATAATCAATTAAGGTCACTTACTTTGGTGTGCCTCGGTAGCTTTTCTAAGTAGAAGTTATCGATTTGTTGCGAAGAAAAATAGAGCAGAGTTCTAGATAGCGTAGATGTAAATCCTTCAATGCTGATAGCACGTGTGCAAATAGAGTATATTGAATTACAGTACGTGGCAGTTCTTTCACAAATTAATCATTAGCCGTAAGTAAACAAAAAATAATTGAGCAAAATAAGAACAATTAAATCATTGTGAATAACAGTCGTGATATGGGACCTCAACGTTTCAGAACGCTTCGCCGCCCATGCTCATGAATAATAGACCAGTTTGCATTACTTGCAAGGTTTTCCCATTTCGGACTTTGTTGGAATAAATTCATTCTATATTGGAGTAGTGGAGTATTGGGGGAGGGGTGCGGCGACTCTTCCCCTCCCCTTCAAAGTTTTATTAAATCTGTGAATTTGAAGGGGGGGAAATGATACGCGTACGCTAGCGTATTGGCGGGGAAATGATGCAATTGCTCCCACTTACTCCCCGTATTGAGGTTGCATCCATATGAAATTACAATTTCAAGTGGATAACATGAGATTAGTAACGTGAAATGCAAAACTCACAACCTTTACAACATTCTTTCCATTTTACTGGCAGTTGCTACCAATGCCCAAGAACATCTACAAGGTCTTCGATGTTTATGCATCCCAGATGATTCTTATAAAAGGATTTGAAAACGTCGAACTTTTGAAATCTGTAACCATCCAAATGCCCCATCCGTGTTCTACGAGATATACCACAGGTCAAGCCAAACTCGTCCGGTTAAAGAACAATGAATGGGAAGAAGTAGGAGACCCGAAAATTGAAATAAAAGATGCTTATATAAAGTTTCAAGTACAACATTTTTGTTGGTAAAGTATTTTTATCATTATTTCGTTCTTTTGTTTCTTTGTTGTTGTTGTGGTTTTTTTGTTGTTGTTGCTTTTTGTTATTGTTGTTGTGTGTGTGTATGAGTATGTGTGTGTGTGTRTCAGGTGTGTGTGTGTGTGGCAGGTGKGTGTGCTCAGCATCATTAAGGCATGGCTCTAAAATGAAAAACTGTTTAGATATATCATAGCCAGTTTTCTACGAATCTT